TTTTTTTTCCTATTCTTCCTCTTGATTGAATATGCCTATGCAGATTTTCTCTGGGCTGTCCGCGGCGAGGACAGGGTCGGTCTCCCCAACTTTTGAAGCTAGGTGGTGTCTCTAGCGGTATTACATGTGCTACAGGTACTATGGTACGACAAAATTGATGGTACACCAATGCACGAGGACAAGAATGTGCTCTTTACCTTCCCAACCACGACGTATTTTCCTTGTTTTGTTACACGATAGCCCTTTTTTACGCATTAGGCGGCGCTGTGGATTCCGTGTTCTGCCAGTGTTGTGGTTTCACAGCGACATCTGAGGCGGCCGCAGAAGCACCCTCCGCCTCCTCCGCCCTCTTCCTCGCCTCCCTCGCCTGCTTCTCCTTCCTCCGCATATCCCTCATGTCAGGAGGTTTCTCTATACCGAGCTCGGCCCTGAGCACGTCGACGTCGCGCTCGAGCTGCTCCTCCCAGTAGAGATTGATGACGTGTTCCGCGCGAAGCCCGTTACGGATGGCCCATGGCCCGTAAACGGCGCGGAAGCGGGCGCGCTCGCGGGGTTTCAGGGTGAAGTAGCTGGCAACGGCGAGCCCGGTCATGGGGATAAGGGTATTGGCGAACTCGAAGGCCTTGAGGGCGACCTCGCCCTCGCGGTAGACGGGGAGCCCCGTGAGGGCGTGGTAGAAGTCGTGGCACTCGCGGTACCGCTGCATGACGTAGGCGCACTCCTCGTCGTCAATGTAGCGCACGGGGGCTCGGGTGTCGGGCGACACGCCCTCGCGGTCCAGCCAGCCTACGTAGGCGCGGCCGACGGTGTTCTCGGGCAGGGAGCGGAGGCGGTCGAGGTTGAGGGAGGTGGAGGTCAGGCGCGGTCGGTCGCGGAGGATGCGGCGGCCGGTAGGGGAGGCGAGCATGGCGTCGCGGAGGCGAGGGATGAAGTAAGGGGTTGCTGTCGTTTCGCCCACCGTTGCGATGAGATCTGTTCATTGGTTTAACAGTGTCAGATGGAGAGTGACTTCTTTTCTATTTCATTTTTTTTTATTCGGGGTAAAGTCGCTGACCTCCACGTCTCGGGTCAATGAGAGACATGATGCCGGAGCCGATGGCCAGGCTGGCGCGTTCGACCATCGTCAGAGGGACATGGCCAGGATAATTGGGCGGAGGGCGGTTCAGAACCGAGAAATATCGAGATGAGTCTGCTGCTGGTCTCCGATTCGAGCTGGAGCTAGACGAACATACTACGCAAGTTGTTCGTGCTGCTCGTATCGACAGGCTGGATCTTGTGACTGTTGGTATCCTGGAAATAGACTTCATCTTTGCAAAAAAAGTCTCTAATATCGCATAATAAAGACAGCTCCTCCAGCCATGAGGGGAATTGAGGAAGAAAAGGCGTTGAGGTTGCTCGCTGGTCGTGGTATGATTTTCTGAGGCTTCCTTAATAACCTTACCTTACAACCTTACCTTAGGTAGGTAGGTACCTACCGGAACTGGACGGAGTACTTTGTAATACATCAAAGACGGCACGGAATGGCTCCCGCCTCTCGGACGAGTCACGGATTTCTGTCCAATAGATGGCCATAGATTCATTTGTCAAACTCCTGGCATGTGGGGTTTTTTTGTTTGTCAAACCCAAAAAGAAACACCGATATTCCCATCGCCAAGGGTTCTCTGACTCCCTAATAAGGTTGTCCCAAGGTCGACAACATCTCAATCCATCCTGACTCACATCCTCTTCAGTATAATAATTAAAGGAATAGTATCTTCAAGCTAACGCAGAGGGCTACTATGCTGCGTTACTATCTTGGCTCTCTGACAAAGTAATCACGTCTTCGTCCTTTCTGACCCTCTTCGATTCGTTCGTTTGGGTTAAGGTAGTTTCCTTTGCACATCCATCCCGCTTCTTGTCTACTGGCCAAACATGGAAGGCGACGATATTAAGGGTGAATGACAGACATGGAGATTGTCGACGCCACTGGTAACGATCCATACATCCTCCTTCTATGGAACGCAGCGGTATCTGACGGAAGACCTAACACTGGCAGGTCTCATTTCTACCCTTCTTACTACCTTGGGTATCTGGTCTACTCTCTTGTTGCATCTGTATAAAACCCCTTTGTGAGGATCTCAACTCTCAACTCCCAACTCCTCTTGCCCTCGGCAGCTTTCAGAAACATCGCAACAAAGAAGCCGGCGCAGGAAGCAAAGGCATCATCTACACCCAACAACCCGACTGCTATCGCAAACCCGAACTTGTCAGTCAGGCCATCAGACCACCGTCATGATGGAGGCAATCTACGACCTCTTGGACTGGGCCAAGACCCAGAACATAGTCCTGCATGGCATAGCGCCCCATGCTTTCCCCGGTCGCGGTATCGGCCTCATCTCGACAAAGACCATCCAGGAGGGCGATACCATCCTCGAGGTCCCCATCTCCGCCATCAAGACCCTGGACACCGTCCCCGCCGCCCTGCGCGATGCGCTCCCCGCTCCGCCCGACACCACCGTCCATGCCCTCCTAGCCCTGGACCTGGCCCTCGACGCTTCCACCTACCCGGCTCCCTGGCGCGCCGTTCTTCCCTCTCGCGAGGACATCTCAACCCTCCCCCTGACATGGGACCAGCGCCTGCAGAAGTATCTGCCAGGGGCCGCCCGGGAACTCCTCGAAAAGCAGCAGGCCAAGTTCGCCAAGGACCTCGCCACCTGCCGGGCTGCATTCCCGGACCTCGACCCGGATACCTACCGTCACGCCTGGCTTCTCGTCAACTCACGAACCTTCTACCACGTCTCCCCGCGCACTGAGGGCCTCCCCAAGGAGGACCACCTCTCCCTCCAGCCCGTGGCCGATCTCTTCAACCATGCGTCTCAAGGTTGCTCCGTGTCCTTCACCGCGGAAGAGCTCGATACCCATACTGCAAACGTGCAGCGCCACCCCTCTCGCCGCCATGTCCCCCAACACAGGAAGCATCCCTTTCACAACAAACGCAACGGCCCTACGACGCACGCCCCCGCCCAACCCCATACAACCGGCAACTACACCATCACCGCCAACACCACCTACCCACGCGGCGTGGAAGTCCCCATCCGCTACGGCTGCCACAACAACGACTTCCTCCTCGTCGAATACGGCTTCATCCTCCCCGGCGCCACCAACGAGTGGGACGAGACGAGCCTGGACGACCTCCTCGGCCCGCGCCTCGGCCGCTCCCCCAGCCGCCGCAACGCCCTCCAACACCATGATTTCTGGGGCGGCTACGTCCTCGACGCCCAAGACGTGTGCTTCCGCACCCAGGTCGCCGTCCGCAGCCTACTCCGCACCGAAGCCGAGTGGCTCCGCTTCGCCCTTAACGCCGTGGACAGCGAGGCTGCCCAGCGAGCCGTCAGCAGGAAACTCCGCAGCCTGCTCGAGCTCTACAACTCCGACATTGAGGATACCATCGAAGCTGTCCGGGAGTTGGACTTGCAGGACGGCGTCGGCACAGCTTCCCAGAAGGAGACCCAGAAGGAGATTCTTATTGCGCGTTGGGAGCAGGTTCAGGCCATGGTCAGGGCCACTATCGCACGGTACGACGAGAACCATGGAGCGGGATACTAAGCGGGGATGCGATCGGAGAAGAGGGGTGAAGTGAAGTCAGATGCATTTCGAATAATCTCAAGGAAGTCCCCCCCCC